TGTGGAGAAAATACAACAACGAACAGAATAATAAAGGTAACAGAAAATTATGTTGGGGAAGGGTAAAAATGAAAAAATGTGAAAGAAAAGAAGAAGAGATCAGAGGAGGAAGAGTTGGTCAGTGACGAAGTCCTGATATCAAGGAAGGAAAACAGCAATTTTATGAAGTGCTGAGACAAGACAGCTGAGTACTGACTGAAGATGGATTAATAGAAACAGTTGCACTCCTGTGTGATTCAGGATTGAAAGATGACTCAAAGAATAACAGCAACTACAACATAATGAATAAACTAAACAAAGCACATACAGCAACAAAGTAAAATTCCTAAGACAATGGTGTATAATACTGACCGACAACAGAAAAATGGCAAGACAAATGCACCAAGATTAAAACAAAAACAACTTCTCTCTTGGACTTCAGTATGGATTCTTGTTCTAATCTCATTCCGCTCTTTAAAGTGCCTTTTATCTGTTTGGTCAAAAATAAATCATGATGGATTCTCCAAATTTAGACACTATGATACAATAAAGCCAAAGGCTATAGAAGGTTATGTTTCCCTTTTATTTGCTAACAAACACATATGACAAAATGTGTTTTCCAAGACTAACGTTTTGGCCCAAGATCAATAGGAATTGGTGACAAGCAGATATTGTGAAACCTAAAAGAAACAGCTGAAAGAAAGCCAAACTCAAGACCTCCTAACATGCATTGTTGTCCCACAAAAAAGCTGCTACATCATCACAAAGCCAAAGGACCTTCACACTCAGAGGGGACAAACGAAAAACAAAATTTTACTTTGACCTCCTCCAAAAATGCTTATTTAACATTGGGTTGGTAAGTCAAAGAAAAATTCTGATGTTGATGCATTTGGACTTTTAGAACTCAGCAGTGGAAATCAACCAAACAAACCCAGAAGTAGTACAACTCACAATGTGGGCAAGCACAGCACAAGAATATAAAAACCAGTCACTGACGCATGCAAAAATATGTACCATGTTGTAAACAGGCATGTGGATAGTGCATGTTATGTAGGATGAGAAATATGCATTTTTACATTAAGTAATTCACATCTATCTCTACATACTGATCACGGTTTTTAAAGGTTAATTAATAGAGATGATCAGCTAAGTTATCCATGAAAAATTGGCATTGTTATAAAAATCAAAGGGTTTGTTAGTGAAAATGTCAAACTCACTCAGTGCAGGTTCGGTCAGATAGCTGTAGCGCTTACGTAAGGCTAGGGATGCAAAGGTATGACGTCGCTCTGGCTTTTCAGTCTGCAACAATAGCAAACAACACAAAATCCTATCAGTTCTAGGTCACCCTACATTGTATATAACTGCCAAATGAGCAACATTTGAACCTTATAATGTCAAGTAAAGCAAACCCAGTAGTCTGCATTTCTTATTATTAACATAAAATCAAAGACCATATTGAATAGTTGCATAATATGGCAGTAAATTCTCTTTTAAGTGTATCCATTGCATTTCAGTCTTTTATTTTTGTACTTAAAATAAGTGTTACAATGCCAAGTTAGTCAAATTAGCTAGAGTTAGGCTAAGGCTACAAACTTTATAAGTACCAAAAATGTACAAAGATGTAATTTTAAGGTTAACAAAGGTTAAGTCTTGACTTAAGGACAATGTAAGCATATCTAAACTTCAAAGCCACTCGTATCACATACTGTAGAGCGTAAGGGATAAAACAAATAGTTTTTCATGTCTACAATATATCATGCAAACCGAGGACCTCAAGGTTGCTTTGAACAAGAAAAGCTCATATTGCCCTCCTAGAAGCGGAAAGAATAAGGCTTTAATGAGCAGAGCAGAGCAGGGCCGCGATAGATCTAGCGCAAAGGACAGCATATGGTGGGGAGGGTGTGGTTTACCTCATCCTCGGCATCTGACTCCATTTCCTGGTTCCCAAGATGCATTGCAGAAACAGGGGGAGTAATATAATGGAAAGCAGGGGGAAAAGAAACATCAGGGTGTGAAAAAGGAGTGACTGACAAAAGCTCAGAAAAGAAACCAATTTAGCAAACTCAGCAAAGCAGGAAAAAAAAAACACAGGGCAAACACCAAAAAAAAGCATCAACACTCAGTAGCAAAAACTGCAAATGAACTCCAGCCACAAAAAGCGAGCCTGATAATCAAACCAAGCCTTTTGCACAAAAGCCCTCAGCCAAAAGCATGTCATCCAAATCAAAAGGTAGGTCATAACAAAACAAACAGCCGGTGACAAGAATCCACTGCACAGATAACCACTATACATAGAGAGACGCTTTAAACAGATAAAAGACACAGTGGCGGCAGTTTGGCCAAAGTCTTTCTTCTATCAGTGTTATTGGGGCTGAAACTACCCTAATGATGAGTATGGTTATGGAGGTGACAACAGTGAATGGTGAATTCACGCTACCTTACCTTTTTCACCGCAGGTAGTGTGATGTTCAGGTTGCACACAGCGGTTTGTGGAAGGCCTTTAGTGGTCTTGCACTCTTTAAGGAAAGTGAGGCGACCACAGGGCTCCTGGCTGGGATCTCTCACCTAGAGAAAGAAAATGGCCTCTTTATGCACCTTATCCTCATTTGTACTGCTGATGCATTTTAACATGAACATTTCAACAATGTACACTTTCTTTTTGCAAATGTGCATACTTCATGTAGTATTTGTTTTTTTTTTTACATTTTTCACTGAGGTAGTCATATACTTCAGCAGCACGCAGCAGCAAAGATACAATATTTTGTAAGAAGTATTACTAAATTTGCAGCACACAGCATGACTAAAACGATTTCCATTAGATGTCACTGTAAACAATGTGATGGGCTGCTAAGACTACATTTCTGTGCTTTCGATTTGACATATTACTTACAGAAATGCTGTACTAATTGAGCATTAGCTGAATAAAGAGTAATCAAACAGCCCTGTTTGTATGTAATGTCAAACAAGTGGTGCCCTGCTCACACATTAGTTGTGTTGGGATAAAGTGATGTCTGATTTAGGTAACATGCAACAAATCATTCAGTGCACCACATGATGCAAAAGGATTGATCATAGTGAACATGAAGTAATGGGTCAATAAATGACATGATGCTATTCAGAAGGGGAAAAGAGAACTAGGTCATAACATGTGCAAAGAGACTATTGCATTGAAAGCTGGTGTGGGAAAGAG